TATATATATAAAAAAAATACACACTGCCGGTCAACTTAACACACATGCACACATGCACACACACACATGTATCCTGAACACACCCACCCAGTAGCAACATGTCTGATATCAATATTCTATTTTGTGTACACACACCCTACATCTAGTAAATAAGAAAATCCCTTTTATGGCAATTCTGCAGGCAGAAAATCAATACAAAATACTTTGTTGTACAAAACTGCATTTTTACAAGATCAACCGACATTGTAACATACCCCTCAATAATGCACTACATCCCTACAAGAAAAAAGAAAAATCAAATCTTTATACAATTGTAAAAAAAAAACCTATAATAATTGTAAGCTGCTCTGCAACCTTCCTTTGCTAAGAGTTAGATACATTACACCATTCTAGCAGCAGATTAATAAATAAGGATTAAATAGACTATTATACAAAGCCATACTGAATGGCAGATTTAAAACCAAAAAGCTTTGCAGATACTTTCACTTCCTACACAAATCTGTTTTATTAAGAATAAGACTCAGTATAAAACAGGGAAACAGCCAGCACTGTATCTATATCTACAGAACATAAGGAAAATCCAAGGGAAGTAAAATATTTAACAGTTTATGGCACCTTTACTGCATAACATTTTTTAAAGGCTCTGTTTCCCTATAACTAATGAGTAAAGGGCTATTTATCTCATAGCTTTTATTAAGCAAACTCGATATAACCAACCACACAGTGGCAAAAGACAGAACCAGCTGTTCCCAGCTGCAAAAATGTATTGATTTCCACCCTAAACCAACATCATTTAAGTGTCAAGAAAAGAAAGTCACAGTCCTGCTTGTGTTGAGTTTCCTAATGCTTCTTCATTCCCCATGTGGCAAATTCACTGTTGTTTGTGCTAGGTTACCGTTGCTTAGTAACTATTTTCATGTCCAGCCAAGATGTAGAGATTGCTGTGTGCAGTCGGATTTTCTGTTGGCCTGCTTTCTAACACTACCACTCTGCAATCAAACACAAACAGAATCCAAAACAGTTAATAGCAAAACACAAAGCACATGGTGTTCCTACTGAGGAGGAATAAACTTATTGCTCACAGGTTTCTTCAGATCAGAGGGATATACATTCACCTAACTACTGTGGGTATTTTATTTTTTAAATCAGTTACCCCATTTTCCAGCATCACTTCTGATAAAAACAGTAAAGCGGAATAAACAAGGAACGGAGGACTAGAAGCAGCTTCTTGAACCAGAATCTGCCCCTCTCAAGCACAGGTACACACAATGTGTTACAAACTTCTTCCAAAGTGACATCTGCCTCGAGGTAAGTTATGTCCTCTGCTTCTGTGGGGAAGTCCTCTCAAATCGAGTGTTGTGAGGAGACACAACCCTCCTATCATCTGCAGCCTGAATATCCTAGACCTTGTGATAAGAATCAGCCACTACCCTAAACAGTTTTCCTCTCTTCTAAATATTTATCAGCTGATGGATTCACAGGAACACTTAACCCCATCACAGCCTTTGTCCTGATGGATTGTGTTCCTGTAGGCTCCTCTAGAGAACCTGACCTCAAACAATTTTCAAGTAATTCTCTCTCAACAGCTTCTGTCCCTGATCTTCACTTTGGCAACTGGGTAGTTCTAAAGTGATCCAAGCCAAAAAGGTGCTACCACATCTGGTTCACCTGAATGGCAGTGAAAACTCCTGCTCCATTTGTACAGAGATGGAAAAGTACTGAACAAAGGGTTTGGCCATTCAGTGATACCAGCGTAGAAGAAAAGGGCTTCTCTGCAAAACTGCATGCAGCAGAAGGACCTCAACCTGGGGATCCAAAAACATTAAGCACACAAAATTATGGGTTAGTTATAGAAAGCGAGTCAGAGCCAGGATTCCCAAAGGCCAAATGAGGGAGCAGAAGATCAGGGATTAGAACTGATTTCTTGACTCATAACTATCTACTTCTACATTTAGGACTCTGGCTATCTGAGAAACCACAAGTAAAAAGCCTGGAGGTAGCTGAACCTCTTCCCAGCTTCTGTAGCTGAAAGGAATCATCTGGATGTTATGGGTAATGGAGTGCATTTTGGCCACATTAGAGCCTGTATGTGATCTAGTTTGCTCTGCTATTTCCAGAACTTAAGGTCCAGAGCAGTGAAGATTATTTTAAAGTAACTAACTGCCAAGACAATTCACCAATTCACCAGGAAAACCTAAGCCAGAAGGAGGCTTTTCCAGAAGTGCACTGCTAACACTGCTCACCGCAAGCCAAAGCTGGCTCTCGTCTCTCCCTGTCACTTACCTCCTCACACTGTATCTCTATAGGCTCGTGTCTGTGTTCACACTTCTGTCTCTGCAGTGGAAAGCGGAGGTCACAGAGTAATTGTTCTGGACGCAGACACAATCACCAATTAAATTTTTGGCTATTGCAGGCAGAAGCAGTATTACTGCCTCCCCCAGGACTGCCTACAGACAGGTCTGTGGTGAGCTGGAAGCCAGTTCCAGCTGGAAGCTAGAAAGCTGCTTCAGATAAAAGGTTTATGTTATTTCAAGGTGATTACCTGTCTGATCCCAGTAAGCGGAAAACCCTGGTTTCATCAGATATCTCTTGGGTAACCTGTAAAAAAATTGAGACATTTAGGTCCATTTCAGTGGCAAAATGAAATTTACTGGTCTGAGTCTCTGCCTGATATTCCTGGAAACAGAGATGGCTAAAGCCTCTGTGTGTGGTTTACGAAAAGCAACGTATGCAGGCAAAGTCAGAGGAAGCAACTAGCAAGCTGAAGCAATGACAAGATGGAGCACACGCATTATCACTAAGGAAGCAGCTAGAGTTGCCAAAGCATCAAGTGCTAAATCAGGAACAGGAAGAAATTAAACCTGGAGAGACTAGGAGCTTACTTACTTCATCTGACTTAAAGCTTTTGCCCTGCATGCCATGTTTCCAGAAGGCCAACACACTGTCTTGAAGGCACACTGCAAAGGAGAAACACAAGATGAGACCCAAGCATGGCTTATCTGAACCAGAGAAACCTGGGTTTCTCACCAACAGTGGTAACTGGAAGCATATGGAGAAAGTACGTGGTGAAACTCAGACTCCTCGTAGAAGAGCCAAACTCCAAAAATCATAGAATGGTTTGGGTTGGAAAAGACCTTAAGATCATCTAGTTCCAGCCCCCCTGCCATGGGCAAGGCCACCTCACACTAGACCATGTTACCCAAGGCTCTGTCCAACCTGGCCTTGAACACTGCCAGGGATGAAGCGTTTACCACTTCCTTAGACAACCTGTTCACTGTAGGAAAGCCGGATTGAAATGACTGTTTGGATCTGAGACACACTGCTTTTTAAAGCACAATTCAAAACATACTTCTCAGACATTCCCTGTTTGCCAGGACAAGATAAGCATCTCTGGTTTTTCCTTTTCTCCCTTTCACTTCTGTTCTCTGGATCTTTGTTTTCCTAATGATTCTTGAGAGAACACCAGGAAGTGTACAATCATGCTGCCAACCAAAACACTGTGGGTTGCTGGAAATTACATATCATTGGAATTATTATATTTACTTCAAAATAGATATGAGTATAAAAACTGGGAGGAGTCTTCCATTCAGGGCCAAAGAGAGAACACAGGGAGCTACTAGCTCTGAATGATTTAATTACCAGACTGCTGAAAATAATGGATGAGGAGCCTGATGTTCTTTAAGCAGCATTACAGAACCATTTTACACTGTGTTTTATTTTCCTAAATCCTGCTTGTTTCCCTTTACTACTCCTTTGAATGACACTTTGTATCTGCTCAGTCTTAGCCATGTCCTAAATGCACATAACAAAGGCATTCAGCAGAATCTGAAGAGCAATGTTTGTTACAACACCCTTAGACTAATCTGTGCCTGCTACTCCCAACTCCACCCTGCAATCAGAGCACGACAAGTTGTTTAATACCCTGAATTCCCAAAAGACCACTTGCTGTGTAAAGAATTGCTCACATTATTCAATGTCAGCTGCTAAGAGAAACAATTTGGGATAAATGCTTCTGTCTATGAATTCCTTCAGAGTTCAAGAAGGCGGCATGGTCAAGTCATGTTATGCATGTGTCAGCAGCAGATATTGTATGAAACAAATACAGCAGTTAATTAGAACGCATCAGAAATTAGGGAAGAATCATAGGTTTGATTAAAAATATCTTTCTTCAGGATGGATCTGACATACCTAAACAGAGATGCTGTATAAAGGAATGTGTGCTGTTTTACCAACTGCTGTTAAAATACAGAATACCTATTGTCAAGAATCTTCTTTTGAAGGAAAGGTGCCCGAAGAACCCAGAAATGCAAGTTGTACAGAACTGCTAACAAAAGCAAGTTCTGTCTTTACTGATTTTGATTCCAGAAAGAAGTGCCATTTCTGAGATACAAATTATTAAGCTTATGTTAATGAGATACTTTCGAGAGTTTATTACAGCAGAAATACTTAACAATTACAATTCAAGTTTTAGAAACAAGGCTGCTGTCTTTACACTACTAGAGGCCAGCAGCCTGTCCTTCAAAAGTTAGATTCAAATACTATTATCCTGACTATTAAAAAATTGGATATGCTACCACTTTAAATAAAATCTTAGCTTTTAGAAGACTAACACAAATTAAGGTATTACTAAAACATTTTTCCTCCCCAAAGGTTTTTCTCAGTACTATAGAAATGACCAGAAACTAGTCAGTCTTTTTTTCACAAGTAAGAAGTACCATGATTTAGTTGAAAACAGAAACGACAACAGATGGAAACACATGCAGATTGGACACACTATCTGGCAACTGCATCATGTCAGTGGAGACAAACAGACAGCTCACAATATCCTGACACATCTAGATTATTAAAAACTCTTCAGCACTCATCCCTCTTAAGTTCTTAAGTCCTTGAGAGACAACAGAGAAGCAAGTCACTTACCCACTGACTCAATGCAGAAATCAAAGCTCAGCTCAGAGGCCAGTTTCTTGCTTGACTTCAATTTCCCTTGTAAATTCACAATTTTCACAAATTCTCAAGAAAACAAGAAAAACAAGTATTGAAACCCACAGCTGAGAAGTAGTACTGACAGCTTTAAATAAAAAAGTACTAATTTAAACTTTCAGGGACTAAGAAAGGCCCAAACCTAAACCCTGCAATATCTGCTTAAAATGAATCCAAGAGCATTCTTCTCTCAAAATAAATATAGAAAACCTTCTTATACACTTTGTATGTTTTTAGACTCTACTGACAGCCTTCCTGCAAACAACAAACAGTGCAGAAATATGAATCCAACATAAAGGTTGGAAACTTAGGCAGACTAAATCATTGCAGAGTTCCCATTGAGGTATTAACATCTGATGCATGAGAGCTGTGGTTGTTACTACAGTGTATGATGGAGTATTGGCTATTTGTCCTGCTAGCACATGCGACAGGCAAATGCCCCTTTCCCCAGGTAAATTCTGAATATTTCTGATTGGCATATATTTGAATTCTGATCTGTAATTCTACATTTCAATTTGAAAAGAAACAAGAATGATACACACACGAAGAGGGAAAGTGGAATCACAAGAGTCAAAAGGAACCCCTACTTATTCTGAAATATTACAACACAAATTAGTAATGAAGGGAGAAAAATTAACTCGTGGTAGAGTTAAAATCAACAACTGTGGCAAAAGAAGTTTTGCATAAGGTATAGTAAGTTGCCCAACAGAGGTGTGTTACTTACTGTCCAGGCAGACTAAGACAGTGTCTCTTTCCAGCTGTGTTACATGAATGGCATCTAACTGCTGATTGCCTTGTGAAAAAGGAAACAGATTATTTTATATCACATCATAAGACTGATCTCAGCCTCCCCTCAACCTCTCACCAACTGCTACAGCCTTTTGAGTATGCTACAAGTCTTCTGCAATCTACACTTTTTGTTACTCTCAATTTTTTGAAGGCTATATGATCCCAAAAATTGTTGGGAGAAGTACAGGGCCTAAGGACAAACCCATCAGTTCAAAGCAGCCATTTAATATGAAAGCACTACTGTTTATTGGCATAAAATACATTGTGTTACAGTTCAGCACAGCATGTCAGCTTCCTTCATGAAGAGGCACCATAAAGAACAGCAGAAATCATCAAGGGACTCCTTGCTCCTAAAAAAATGCTCTTTTCTCATAAATCCCCATCTGGGAAGATTATGGGCTAATATTAAACTGGATTTAATAGTTTTTCTAGGTTTTATTAATGCAGTTCTTGGTACAGCTGTTAAAATGCAGGATTTAAATGTAAAAGAGTATATGCAACAAAGCCAGCAGAAAAAAAAGCATCTGCAAGATATCAAGTAGCTTTTGAAGATAAAACAGAATCTTCTATTTATTAATAGCCAGCTGAGGATGACAAACCTCCCCCAAGAGCTGGAGGACAGACAAGAATGCATTTATGTGAATTTGTACACAGGAAAGAAGGGGAAAGAAGACTATGGCTGATCCCAGGAAAAAGTATGCAAGCACAAATGAGAACCCAATCAGCAGGGTCTGCATTACTGTCTAAGAAGATTTTTAAAAGATGTGTCTGAAACTGGAATCTTTTAAGAAAGACAGTTTATACTGAAGTTGGCAGGTCATCACAAGAAGAACCTGGCATCAGCTTCAGTATGGTTTAGGTAGAGAAGCTGCATCATTCTGCCGTCTAGCCTAAGGAGTTTCCAAATGACTGCTGAGGAAGGGATATCCAACAGTTACTAGACAGTAAAATGGTTGCAAGATGGACTGACAGTCTTACCTGCACCAATTTCTGTAAACCATGAAGAAGCAGAATTCAAGTTGATTGTCTCAAACTGAACAACCTGGTTTGGTTCAGTACCCTTGCTGATAGCTACACAGACCATAGGGTACTCCTGCTCTGGTATCACTAGCATTTCAAACACATTCAAAGGGCTTGGCAAAGGGAAGTCAAAGTGCTGGAAAAAAACATAATAAGGCATTTGTAAAGTTTCCTTTCACCTTGGAAATAAGAAGCCTAAAATAACATGCATAAAGTACAAAAGATATAGAAGATTTTTCTCACTGCTACCAAGAGTGCTTTTTTTGAGACAGCATGAGCTGTGAGCAACATTACACTGCATAGAGGTACATGCTGGTCTGTTATTGCTAGTACTGGGCTTGATCCAACACTTGACTGACTTCAGTCACAAGATTTTTCTTAGTCAAAGTATGTCAAGCCAGATTTTCAAGTGCTTAGAACCCAGACATGGGACTAGACTGGGATGTACTTTTCATTATGTATTCTGGAAAGGTTATTTCAACAACTGTATTATGATTAACGTACTAAATGAAAATTAAATGCTTACCTTTATTAACATGAATTTCTGCATTGGCTCATACCACTGTAGTAGAACAATTCCAGACTGCAATGCACCACAAAGGTACTTATGTCCTGTGTATGGATTTCGTACTATATAAAAAAACCCAAAAGAAACAAAATCCAGAAAACAACCCTTTTTAAGACCTGGAAGTTCAATGCACACTTGGAAAAAACCCTACAGCTATCTTTGCAAATAATTTAAGAAACACCATCAGTTTCACACTAATTGCTTTCTGGCTTGCCATTCCAATATCCACAGTGATTAATATTGTGCTACTTCCCAGATAAATTCAATTATAATTAATGACCACTAGGATTCTTTGAGTCCCAGTGAAGAGGCCGCATTCTGAGTGGCCAGAAGAGCTGTAACGCCTTCTTCCTGGGGCTGTGAGAGCGGGGGAGCAAAAGGTCTGGGTCAAGTTGGAGTTTAAATAAAAAACATTCCCAAGCTGTGGAGATGGCCCACAATGTCTTTGAGTTTTGCCAGTTCATGCAATAATACGATAAAGGGTTTGGGGTTTGTTTTTTAAAGCTCAGTTGCATACAAGACCAGCCTGACTTCAGGAATCATTTGTAAATATACCTACTGTAGACACTTCATATGAGCTAAACAGGATATCCAAGTTTGCAACTAGGTATTTTATACTCTGCTTAAGCATTTTTACAAGTGCAAAGGTACAGTTTCATACTACACTAGGGCCAGTTTTCAGAAGGACATGCATTCTGTAGAAAGCCCAAGCCTTCAGAAAGTCAGTGAAGCCAAAGACAAATCTGCAACTTCACAAGCTTTAATGCTTTTAACTCTAGTATGCACTTAGATCTGGAGCAATGGCTTCATTCCTCCCTAGGTTGACATAATTTTTATTCATGTCCAGCCCTTCCTTTGTGGAAAATATTCTTTTCAAGTGAGCTTTGCTAAAAGCTGGATGTAGGTCAAACTCTGAGCCAAACTGACAAAGCAGAAAGGATATTTATGTATGTGCAGCAAGTCTGGAATTCTATAACAAGCTTTATAGTTGCAGACAGGCTGCATTTTGCAGTAACTAGTTGGCTCTGGAGGCAGCTTGAAGCCATTGGTCCCAAAGCCAGTGATCCCAAACACTGCAGCTTTCAAAGAGAGTGTGCAACACCCACCAGCTGCCTGCTGCTGGCATTCTCCAGAGCTTCCCTTTGGACCTCACTCTAGACTGCAACATTTCTAGGTTAAGAGTTGATAATAAAAATGCTTTTCCACTCAGAAGCATAAAGACTTAAAAGGAAAGCTAAGCACCACTTAGGCACAGCATTAAGCAATGATGCAGTTAAACTCTTTTCTGAAGAGTGAACTAACTGTAAGTTAGAAACGAGTGTAAGACATGCCATTCTCAATACAAAGGCCAGGAAAAAAATTGCACAACAGAACGCTGGCTCACCTATACAGCATTTGTGGCATCCTTTTGTATCAGGGATCTTCGTCGTTAAGGCAAACTTCCTGGAATAACAATTATGAAAACACACATCAACAAGACGTGTCAAAGGCCCTTCACACTACCAATTCAACAGCACAAACAGTATAATGGTAATTTTCACTTGTTAATAATTGTCTGTAAGTGAAAGATTTGTACCTTGGTAATATTTTGTCAGGAAACCTATGGGTTTGAATATGAGCCGCTAATCCTGTTTTTTTGGCTTGTTCAAACAAAGCTATTAAATTATGGGAGTACAGCTGGAATGTTTTCCCTGTAAGAGAAAAAAAGCACAACTGACATCACACCCATGCCTCCAGCAGAGAACTGCACAGTTAAAAAAATGCAGATATAGAAAATTACCTTCTAGAAAAACGGACCACGTGTGTCAGGTATTTCAAGTCCAGTTATGAAGAAAAAGAAAACAAAACAATAATAATGCATATAGAGAAGCCATGGCATTCAACTCAGTTCATTTCAATAACACTAAAGCAGCTCTGAAAGTTAGTTTTATGTAAACATTTTTAGAAAGCTGTAATTATACAACAATTAACTGTATCAGAACATTTTTCTATAAACCCACAGAAGTGGCGTTATACAAACTTTGCATGTTAAAAGGCACAGTGCTACAATTAGTCTCCATGACACAGTGACTCTGTTTCCTATCTAGAATATCCTATTCCAGGACAACTGATGAAAAACAATCCAACTTTTTTTTTTTCAAGCATCAATCTGCTGGATTAGTATTTCACAGCCACCTCATCTCCTTCAAATTGAAACTGTTTTTGTTTTAGGGTGGATTTATATTTTGAATCTGGTTCATACCAAAAATGCTACCAGGCTACAGTACACTGAGAGTGAGCAAACACTGTAGCTACATTTCAGTAATGCACCTCTGGTAATCCTCTCCTAATTTTGTTGTGACACATGAAAGGCATCCTTATTCTGACTCTCTTAGCTCAGGGACGAGAGGAGGACACTTTAGACTTTCTAGCCACTTTCAGTCAAATTGCAGCCCTGACAGGGGCAACTTGTTTGACAAATGCCACCTGCTGAGCTCTTCCAAACTAAAAATAAATAAAATAAAAAAAATATTTTGGTGGGACATTGCAGACAACTGGCTCTACTACTTGTAAATGTCAGTTTTATTTCTGGAAGTCTTTCATATTAAAACACTCTTGAAGCAAAACTTCAAGAACAACAAAAGCCCACGTTTCCTACTTCAGAATGATCAAAATACATTGTACTGAATTACAACTTGAAATGTTTCTCTTTATTTATAATCTTACTGATTTCCCCTTTATTTATACATACCTGACAAGGACATTAAGGTGTTATTGATAACATACAGCCATGTGCATTTTCGGGGAAATAACTGAAGAAAGAAAATATTTCCATTAATAGAAACATACAGGAATTTCCAAGCATGGTTTTCTCTGCCTGCTCCACTTCTGCCACTATTCCTGCAGGGATCAACACTGGAGAAAGTCCCAGCTGCAACTACAGTTTCCCCTGTAATTCATTCTTTTGGATCCTTGCTTAGCCCTTTTCTCTGAAATATTTTCATACCTTCCCTCTTCTACCCCTGAAACTTGCAAAATTCTATTTTTCCTCATTTTTAAATTAGTAGTGCAGAGCCAAATTGGGACAACTGCCAAGACTGGAATACCATATCTAAAAAGATACAGCTTGCTTAGAAATGACAGCCAGAGAAAGAGAAAGATAGTATTACAGGAACCTATTTAAATCCCACAAAAGTCAAAAGAGACAGGAAAAAAGGCTACAAGATTTACAGAGTTAATAGCACGGTTAATAGCATCTTGTGCTAGGAGCAGAAAAAAAACACATTACACACTATTTCAACTAGGTATGTCAGCAGGTCCCAGTAAAGTTTACTTTACAGTACTTAAGAACTGGCTCAGACCCCAAGGTCTCAGTAATAATTATCTTCAAGAATTGCTGGAGGACAAACAAGGACCTCAAGGACAAACACCATACCTATGCCAAATAAAAAGGATGGTGGGAATTGCAAAATAGTCTGACTGACTAAATAGCCAGAGTAGCACAGGAACAAGCCACATACTTTTTAATTACTAAGGAATAATAAAAGCAGCTAGTGCAGACTTGTGCAGAACACGTGTATTTGAACATCTGAATTTCCTTCTTTAACAGAATAACTGTCCTGCTGCGGGCAATGAAACAGTAAGATGTGAAATATACGTGAAGGACCTCGTCCTGTGTGCCACTTCCATGGGCAGAATAAGAAAATAGGGGTAGAGGAAATGGGAGAAAGAAAACATACAACTGGTTGGCCATAGAAATGGAGTGTCTGTGAACAATTTGCTAATTAATAGAAGGAAAAAACAGCCTGTAGATATATAGTGTCTTCTCTGGGTCTGGTTCCATTCAGTATTTTCACTAACAATCAAATACAGGTATCCTTCTGAAAATGGGAGATACTAACCTTGGAGAGACAGAAAGCACTTTGGAAGATGCAACCAGAATTAGGAGTTGAAGAAACAGTTGAAAATGTGCATTTGGTAGGGAGAAATACTAAGATTAATAAAAGCAAATAAGGAAACAAGTGACATGGCAGAAGCACTGTGGTAAAGCCTCTGGAGTTTGAAGTGGATCGCATCTGACCTCTGCCAACTGAGAATGCTCTCACAGAAAAGGATACTTGCATTTTGGGGTGCATGGAATGTTTTCTCTACCTACCACTAACATATCTAACCTGTCAATAGGATATAAAAAAGCATGTGTAAGAGTCCAGACAAGGACTCTTACATGAAGTATTTAGGAAAATGTACAAGGAAAGAGATTGCTTTGGCTCATGGAGAAAAGAGAAAATTGAAGTAAGAAGGCCAGGGGGTCTCCAACAGCTGCCACCACATTTTTTAGACAGTTGTACCCCATGTCTGCTAAGGCCACAAAAAGGTAAACAACTTCATTATTCAACACTATCCTACTGCATTCAGGTGTGCCCTCAGCTTTTCGCAACCTTTTTTAAGAGGATCTTCTAACTACATTGAATTCAAATTCCTATTTTTCATCATCAAGCCCTTTATAATCGTCTCTTGTTTTTGTCTGTGCCAAACTAACCCCTCCATAATCCTGTTGAACCACTTCCCATCTCGAGTTTTGTCCTCTTGCACAGCCCTCCCAGAAACAGAGGACTTTCTGAAGCACAGATCTCTGTGCAGTGCCCTTTCTGTGAAATCGTCTTTCTCTCACTATTACTCAGATGCACACACCCTGCCACCTCTGCTTTCTGACCTGTGCCATGTCTTGACTGAATTTATTCCTCTTTAGATGCTTGAAATGCCTTTGTGAACTGCTTTACAAACCTACAGGAGTAAAACTCATTATCAGCATTTGCCAGCATTTCCAAGAAAACTGTTACTCCTGACTCTAAAAGAGCAATGTGACAGTACCATGATTGCATGAAGTGCCTTTGGAAAGGCTTAGAGAGCCCAAGAAAACAGAAGCAAATGCGTATTTATTGGTGATGATAATGCCAGCTAAATGAAATGGTTGAGGGCTTTGGAAGCATCCAGTGGAGCAGCAATATGCCATCTAGTGGAAATAAAATTGAGAGAGAAAGGACACGTAATCAGTTGTCTCCAAGGAGAAGAAACGTGTTTTAGGAGAGAAGTCCTTTGAAAGCAGTGTTACATAAGCAGCAACAACAAAAGAAATAATCAGGTAGGTAGGGGAACTATTAATTTTCTGAGCACTGTTGCTGGCTTTGATGTGAATCAGTTTATGCCAAAAAGCCTCACATCCCATCTACCCCACCTAATACCAAGCTTTCTTGCTTCTTAATATCCCTGTATCTGTGTTCAGTACACCAAAAATCACCTGTTCCATTGTTGCTTCGTGAAGTTCATTCAAATTCAAGGTATAGATACCTTCTTCTGTGCCAAAGATAATGTACTGATCTAAAAATTTAAGAGAAATGTATTATTTCACAAATTCATTACTACTTTGGCAACAGGCAGGTTTAAAATACAAACTTAAAATAACTTTACCTTTAGTATCTGGATGTATCCATGATGTTGCACAATTAATCTTCAAAGGACAACCATCAAAGACTTTGGAAAAACATGCTCCCATCTGAAAGACATGAAAACTGAAACCTGAAACAGTTTACAGGATTAAAGTGTTTATCTGCTGGCACTTGGCCACTTAGTACACACCTGTATGCACTGCGGCTCTCTTTATCCAGACTCAAGCTTACTCTAATATGGTTTGATGCAAAACATTTTTATCATCCCCCAAAAGGCTGCAATTGAGCCTTCCAAACCTTTTCATAAGCTTCATACACACTAAGAAATGCAAAGAGGGATCAAAATAATATGAAAAAAATTAAGCACCTACTGGGTGAGAACAATATATCCTGGAGGTATTTAAAAGATGTGAAGATGTGGTGCTTAGGGACATGGTTTAGTTGCGGGCTTGGCAGTATTAGGCTAACAGTTGGACTTGATAGTCTTAAGAGTCTTTTCCAACCTAGATGATCCTATATATTAATATTGAGTGGTTATATAAATAGCAGATGAAGGGAAAACAAGCACAAGTAGTAACACTGTCTCACACCACTACCACCTCTCTCCCTTTCTCTTTACTAAGCAGGGACTGCTACTGGAGATCACAACTCACACAACCAGTGAAGTCTCTAACCCTTCACATCCACACTTAATGGTGAAAGGAAGTTTTAAGAAAAGGAAACAAGTATCATGGGTTCAGTACACAAAAAGTAACTGGCTGTGAGTTGCAGAAAATCATGCCAAATGAGCTGGTGGCTTATTCTAGCATAAAGCTTCTGACACTAGAGAGATGCCATGAGAGCAGGCTTCCAGTAACTCCTACTGCAAATGAGATTTCTTACCAGCACCTTCGGTGTCGGTGGTAAACCATTGATTGCTGGCTTCTGTGGGAAGAAAGAAAGATCATAAAATACCTGCCCCACACTGATATAAAACTAGCTAGCTAACATGACAGTGAAATCAGTCTGAGAGTCACAAAACTTACAGGAAAATCTCTTTTCTCTTTTTTACGGGGCAGTTGAGGGATTTGTCCAGACCCTTCTGCATTTTCTTCAATGAGTTTCAGCATGCCACCCCCATTTCCTGAAAAGAAGCCCAGACACATTTTGTAGCTTACTTGACACAGTGAAATAGAAATTATTTTTGTTGCTCTATTTGCTTTTCTCCCCTTTATCTAACAGGAGTGAAGAAGTGAACTCTGAAACGTCCATATATGCATCTCAGGTACTGGCACAAGTAAAAAGAAAAGCTGCACCTCATGATCAGCTTGTATTAAAAAAAATATCTGCTGAAAATAGCTGACTCTAGAACTGATTTGCTTTTACAGGATGCAAGTTACCTTTGGGAAATGTAATGCATTTACCTAAGTCGCTGTATCTAGCTGTGAGTAATCCAGGGCTACTGATGCTGCTGGTCATACCAATGGGGGAAGAATCAGTCTGAGGCCCACAAACAGGGATACTCTGTCTCCTGTGAGCTGGTGGGGCTCTGTTCTGTGAGTCTGGGAAGCGTTTTATTGTCTGACATTTGTCATCATCTGGGAGGTTCTCCTCAGGATAACTGTTTATTCTCGGCTGCAACAAACCAGAGATGAAGGTTACCTGGGAAATGGCACCTGGAAGCATAAACTTCAGACAAGTTTAATTCAAGTCAGACTGCTTCTCCATTAAAAAAAAATAAAAAAAGTCAGACTCTGAAAAGAGCCTTTTAACGGCAGAATAATCTAAGAGGTTCCCATCCTTCACTGATGGAAAATCACAGCAGCAGGCAGAATGCTGAACAAGAGGAAATCCCATGCAGCATGCTCTCTTTAGAGGGAAGATACATACAAGTCACTTTGTCTAAGGTAGTGTACAGTGCCAGGAGTGCCCAGAGGTCAAGACTATATAGACTGCAAATCAGCATAAAATATGAAGCTGCACGAAGCACGAAGTTTGCTAGCAAATGGTATCCAACAGAATGTATATACTGAGAGCATCAGATAGAAGCACTGCAGAGGCTGCACAAGTGGAATTTGCTGCCTGAAATTCCTAAACCCCACCATCTCTTACCTTAGGAGGTAGCGGAGGTGGCCCTGCTCGTTTTAGTGTTGATCTGCAATGAGAAGGTTTGGTAGTTGTCTTAGTTAAACCAACAACAGAAACAGAACTACCTGAGAACACAGACTCTAAACAAGACAAGCTAGATGCATAGAATAGGTGGATCACAGCTTTGCATGAACAGGGTTAAACTAGAAGTCTAGGAGTGGGGGGAAGAAGCACGTTAATATAGTTAGAAGTGCTTGTTTTTTAATAACCTCATGTTCTTTCATAAGTGCCAATGTTACAGAGCGTTCTGTGGTGAAGGGTATTTCAAATTAGCAAATAAAGATATGTTTAGGACTAGTTTGGTGCAGTCACTACTGGATTTTGCCAGTGATTGATGGATTAATCAATATAAAATCTGCTTTAAAGCATTAGGCACTTCCATATGCACGCTGAGATAATCTCAGGAAGGAGAGCAAGGGAAGAAAGCATTGCTTTGCAGACATTCTGATGACGATCAGAATCAAGCGTGCATTAGACCTTGGAGTGCAACCAGCCCTCACTTATTTATGAGTGGCAAAGCTGCCTGCAGCATTTTAAAGAGAGATTTTGCCAGAACACTGCCTGCTTTAGCGAGAGCCACACGGAGTAAACACAACTGTACATGAAGGAGGTTCACTCACTCTTCAACATCTTCACTCCCATCGCCAAATTTTGTAAGCAGTACCCTAGATAAAACGTTTATAAAATTAAGAGCTCTGCCCTAAGGGTGACACATGCAACTAAACTGATCGGTGATGTCATTTAGTTTCATAACAAGCATCTCCCATCCCTTTTCAAAACAATGTATTTCTCTCTTATTCACTGCATTAAGCCCTTTTTCATTTAGTATCTTCCTTTCCTTCCCCTCCCCCCCCAATTATCATAGAAGCTCTCTTCCATACCAGATACCATCAAGTAATCTTTCACTTCCCTACCTGGTATTTTAAATATTATTGAAATGCCTAATAACAGGACAATATGAGAGAAAGGGGGG